GAAAAAAACAAAAGAGTCAGCATCTCCATATTAGCGGTATGGGCAGGACTCCCTTGGCGTACCCGAAAATAGTCTCCACTCTCCAAGTCCTAGATTTTCAAATTTTCAAATCCGAACCAAAAACCTACTCTAATGACCAGGGTATGGGGAATTAGATGCATTCCAAAGTGTATTGATAGGGCTGGCTATTTGGTCCGGATTTTTTGGTTTTACCCGAAACCGGTTCGTATAACCCGGACCGAGACCGGATAGTAAACAATCCAATCCAATCTAATCTTTGGGCTTAGATTTGAGGTAAAAAACCGTTCGGGACCGGATCGAAAACCGGATAAGAGAGCTCAACACCCAAAACTTAAGGGTAATTTGCATAAACGGTCACAAACCTTTGCACTTAGTACAAAACTTAACCAACTCCTCATCCTTTCAGGCCTTAGGCCACTCAAATCCCCCACAAGCTCAATATAAAATCAAGACCGAGTTGGGACCTGACCGGATTAAGACCAGACTGTATCCAATCTTTGATCCTTATATTGTCAAAAAGACCGGACTGGACCGGATCAATTTGGGTCAATTTAACCGGACCGTATAGCCACCCCTAATTGAAGAATTTGATAATGTGGATAAAAAAACACAAGATAACGATATGTTGTATTCTTGTTCGACGTGAAAAGAACTAATCCATAGAAAGATCGTAGGAACTCTCGGCTTATGATCTTATTATGACCTAACCAATAGAACTCTAGCTTACTATTGCACAACTCAACAACTAAGTTTTTGTAGAAAATACCGAGAGTAGGGTTTTAACCCTTTTACAACGGAGAGAAGGAAATCTTATTTCACTAGTACAAAGGAAACAAAGTGACTTCTAGGACAAGCAACTGAAATAGTGGCCTGGACGAGTGACTTCAGCTCCAATAACTCCAATACTCCCGTTCAAACGAAGGCATGAATATAGAGCATGCCAACTTAAATCGAAGATGATGAAACTACCTAACACTGAGGTGTTTGGTGAGAAGATCATCAGGGTGCTCTATGGTAGGAATCTTATGAGGAGCCACATGAGCAGCTTGAACACGTTCTCGGACAAAGCAAAAGTTCATTTCAGCGTGTTTGGTACGCTCATGAGAGACAAGATTAACATAGATACGAAGAGTGGCTTGATTGTCACAATACAAAGGAGTGAGACCGGTTTGAGGACAACCAGGCTTGGCGAGGAGCCAACACAACCCGATAAGTTTACTAATTGTGGTAGCCATGACGTGATACTCTACTTGAACAAAAGAATGAGAAATCACATACGATTTCTAAATGTGCCAAGAAATGGAAGAAACACCCAGACATGTAAAGTAACCTGTAGTTTTTTTTTACAAAGGGATCACTTATATTGCTCAACTAATAAAATCGGTTACAAAGAGGGGATACAACATGAGAAAACAAATCAAGAAAGAACAACCTCAACATCTAGAGGAACCAACAAACCAACGAGGGGAAGAACAGAACAAGAGAAAGCCAAGCATGATCCAACTAGACAAGGGCATTCTATTCTTGAACCGCAAACCAAAGCATCTGAATCACTCTTTGCAACCTCATTTATCAGAAAAACTCAAAGGAAAGCTTCAGCTCATCCAATACAGCAATGACCATGATGATTGAACATTGCAACACCATATGCTGCCTCCTGGGAGTTGTTCGAAGACGACCCATCACAGTGAATCACCGAGGAGATTACATGGCGGTGGGCAGCACTATACAGGATTGTTCAGAGCTGAAACAAAGAGAGGGAGCCGGCAGCGGAAGCATCCATGACAAACCAGAGAGCAGGGAACACAAAGGGTTGAAATGCCCACAAAAACCACAAGAAAGAAGACCCACCAGCATGAGCCTCACCTGCAGAAACACAAAGCCAAAAAGAGTTCCAAGAACAGGAACACCAACAAGCAGCACAACCCAATCCATCAACAACAACCCACACCCACACTGCAAATCAACCCAAAAGAAGAACTCTGATCTCATAGAAACATGGACCATCCGCCACGACAATCGGAAGAGACACCGCCACCCACACTGACGATTGGCAAAGATGCAGAGATCAAGCAAGGAGCACAACAGCAGAGGCGCAACAGTGAACGTGATCGCCCACGGGAACGACCACACCAAGAAGGAGGAAATCTTCAAACCGAACCAGCAGAAGCACCCCCAAATTGCATCTTCCGTACCCAAAACAGAGGAACAGATCTAGAAAACTAGATCTAAACAAGACACAACATCTCCACCAGGGAGGAATGTGGGAGGAACCACTTAGGAACCGAGATAAAGCCACCAAGGGCTGGAAGAGCCATCGAGGGCTGGAAAATCAGAATAGATCTGCAAAAACTGAGAAGGGTAGAGGAAACAGGAAAAGCCAGCACTGATCGGAGAGCAAGGAAACCACAAAGGAAATAACCTGTAGTGAAACACTGAGTAGTGAGAAAACTAGCCTAGTCAACATCACAATAATGGGTCAAACTGAGGGAGAAATCAGTAAAAACACATGAATAATTCAACTTTCTAATCTTGGGTATTTCCATGTCATTTTTAACATTAATGAGCTTTGAACCCATGGTGTAGTCTAATTTTGTTCATAGCATTTGCATTGTGCATTATCAGGTGACATCATGAGTTTCAAATGTATATGACGAAGAAGGAAGGGGCGAGTGTAGGAAATGAGGTAAATCCGAGTGCACATACAAAAGAGATAGATCACGGTCGAAAAGAGCCATGTTGCGAATAGGATCACGAGATTCGTGGGAATTGTCCGGGTCGCAATCCTTCAGTAACGAGATATCAAGGGAAATCAAGACCGTGACTTCCTGATCACAATCGTGAATTCATGACGTGAATATCCATATGAAGCATTTGAAGGCGACACCATTCCGAGATCGCGCGCCAATCAGGAACTCCTCCGAGTCTGGCCATGATCTCGTCTGTGTATGTGAATTCTATAAATAGAGGAGTCCTCTAGAGTTGGAGAGAAATTTTTGAAAAGATGAAACCCTATAGACGGAGTAGAGAGAGGAGCCTCTTGGAGAAGAATTAGAACTTGAAGAGAAGAAGAGGAAGGCTTGGAGAGAGGATTTTCCAACAGGTTGGAGTGATTTTCTGATGTTTTCCTTCCCTTTCACTTGTACTTCTTCCCCCTTCATAGGATACTTTCTTAGAGATTTCAAAATTAGTAGGGATATGAGGATTCTAAGGTTTGGGAATTATGTAGGGAATTTTTATTTGATGGGTGCTCTTTCAATGACGGAGAAGCAGCAACACAAGAAGAAGAAGAAGGGGAAGAAGATGGATGGGTGTGGGGTTCGACGGAAGGAGATGATACGAGGGTAGGTAGGTGAAAGGGTAAAGTAGTTTTTTGTTTTTTTTAATTGATGAAATTTAAATATTTTCCACCTGGCATTGCCACGTCAATGAAAACCACCACGTCACCAACAATCATTGTCAAGTCAGCAGTCATGATAGTGTCGTTAAACTTTTGGATGGAATGACTATATCTGTGTATTTTTTAAAAAGTGGCTATATTTATTAAAATCATGAAAGTTATGACTATGTAGGTGAATTTAGCCTTTGTTTTACCAAGATAATGTCAATAATTCCTAAAAAAAATCCAATAATAAATATGAAGTAGCAAAGTGTCGTAATATTGGCTAAAGACAGGGTGCTTAAACCTTGACTATGCATCATTCCAAAAATAGACATGGTCCCTTAGATTTAAATGGGGCCAGAAGAGAGCAAGTCTAAAGGGTGAGATGATACATGACTTTTTATTTCACTAGTTTTCTTAATTGGCTCTTATCTTCTTCATTTTTACTTGGATTTCAAAAAAATTTGTACAGATGAAACAAGTTTGTTGTGATTAGCAAAATGGGATCCATTTTCAATATATCCTAACAAAAAAAATTCATACCACTCGTTACCATCTTCGTTTTTAACTCGAATTTTGAAATTTTTGGCATAGATGGAACGAGTTCATCTTGATTTGTTCGATCTATAAATTTCTAAAAAGAATAAAGGACTAAAACGTACCACTCCATACCACTTTGATATAGGGGCCGTAAATGGTGGTATACAATGATGAACATGGTAACTGACAGACAGTTCACATATTCCTACTATCATTTATTTAACCATGGTATAGACTAGTACTAAATATCTCAATTTTTTTGTTAAAAATATATATCAAAGTGGAAGAGCACAATTATCTGATTTGTCTGTGAAAAAAAAAATTAATTTATGACTTAAAACGAAAAAGATATAGTCCGTTAAAATTTATAGAAGAAATGATTAAGCGACTTCCATAAATAATGATGTGGGATGGACGTGCTAGGCTATACATCATTATTGACTACAAAATTATACAGGTGAATGGTCCCCTGTAATATTTGCATTGGAAATTGGCAAGTGATTAGTTTCCTTTTGTTTTTAATAATGCAAAAAGGGATATATCATATGTGAATGACGTAGAGAAAAAATAGTTGCACTGTATGTAGTGCTTTTCGATTACTTTTATTTTTAACGGCATAGAGAAAAGTGAAAGCTGAGAAAGCAAAGCACATACCTAAAGAAGAAGCCTCAATTGAACTTTGTGACTGACTGTTACCACTTACCAGAGGAACATAGACGTTATTTGCAACCAATAGTTATTCTTTGCTTTGTTCGTACGACTGATATTTTTTTTTATCGATACGAGATCGAGTACTATATCCTAATATTTAATTGGCGGATCCCATTATCTAATTTTCCATACGAAATCATAAGATTCATTTAGTCTAAAAATAATTATCAATGATTCCGATTTATCGAAATATTTCCGAAACATATTTAATATGTGTGATCACAGTCGCATATTATACGCAATAGATCAAAACACATTTAATAAGTGTGAATGCAGACACATATCATACTCCAGGAATACGCTACGTACCCTTTATCGTATATATAAACATTGTTCAAGTTTACGTACCTTAGCTAAAATCCTGCCTACGATACTGCCCACGAACATGGCGAATGCATGCATGGTCAGTTTGAGAGTTGTGTCTCCGTCTCTCTTTGCTGTTTCTTTCTCTTCTTCCGAATTGAGGAGGGTCATTACTAGTTTTGTTTCTTCCTTTACCACCCAAAACCAGGTGCTTTCTCGTGCATAATACGTATGTTTTTAATCAATTGTTTAGAATATTTTTCTAGTAACAAACTCCATAAACAAATTGAAGAGCATGCAAAGCAAGGGGAACAGGAAAGGCCAACAAACATTCTAGTAAAATAGACGTGACATAAACCATATAAATATTATGGCGCAGGAACCTGAACAGAACGGAGGGATAGCATTAACAAGGTAAGGTTAGAGGGAATAATGAAGACTCATCATCATCATCATCACGATATAGTTATCGTCGGAGGCGGAATTTGCGGCCTTGCCACTGCCCTCGCTCTCCACAGGAAAGGCATACGAAGCACGGTGATAGAAAGATCGGAGACACTGAGAGCCGCCGGAGCAGGGATCATCGTCCATGAAAATGGGTGGAAAGCACTCGAGGTGCTTGGTGTTGCCTCAACCCTCCGCCTCCAAACACCCATTTCCATCACATCGTACGTATCCATCCGACTGACTTCTCTCTAAAGCTCGTTTGCTTAGTGGATTTGATAAATGAAGGTTTTGATCAAAACTTGGGTTCTATAAAACTAAGGATTTATGATGGAATTGGTCAGTTTGGTTTTTTTGGATAAAACCAATTGTTTGCTTGATGGATTTCATGATGGATTTTGCAAAATTATATTTGTGGTTATATTAAGAAGTTACATATCTACCCTTACTGTTCCTTATTTATTGTTAAAAACAAAACAAAAACGAGGATAAAATAGTAAATAAGCATCATGGACTTGAGACACACCCACACAAATCCCATCCTTTGAGGTGAAATTTTTCAAGTCCGCGGGGCCTACGGATTTGCACCCTAAAAAATTGTGGGGCCCACGACTACTACTATTCCATCAAGCAAACAAAGGATTTTATATAAAGTCCATGATGATTGGTTTTTATGTACCAAATCGACGATGAAATCCATCAAGCAAGCAAACAAGCCCTTAATTAATTCTCTCTCGAAATCATGCTAATTGTCGAACATGAATCCAGAGGGGAAGTTGTTTACGTGAAGGACGGCAAACGAGAATCCGTGCCATCCTGGTAATTAAACACTACGACACCATAGAATTACGGTGAATAATAATATATATGATTGAGAAAGTCCAGGATTTGGTATTATTAATGTTTTGCAGGGGAGAAGTTCGGGCGATAAGAAGGAGCGATCTCATCGGCACCTTGGCCAGAGAACTGCCGGAGGACAGCTTTCTGCTGGGATACAAGGTGGTTGGGGTCCAGTTCCATCCCACCGGCGATTACTACCCGCTGCTTTACCTTCACGACGGAAGTGTGATTCATGCCAAGGTTGATTAATTATTCCGGTACACCACTAATTAGCAATTAATGTTAACTATTATACATACATTTATTGTGGCTCTCTGTCAAACAAATCTAGAGTATCACATACCCTTAGTAACATACACTATTTAGATCGTCTCGAATAACTCAATTTTTTGGTTATGATATCATATGCTAACCTTAATTAATATGTAAACACGAGTTTTTTATCGTCTAAATCATAAACTCCTCGACCCCTAAAATGATGATTGTAGTTTGTTGGATCAATGTCGATGAATCATAACTGTTGATTGTTGTTTCTAATTAAAATCAGTGTTGGTGTATACATTTTTTTTTTTACACAATTAAGATCTAGATAATAAGTTTCAAGAGTTAGAGTGTATAATAGCATATCTCAAACTACTTCCAATTCTAAATCTAAATATCGCTTTCTTAGCTCAGGTATATCGTACGAGGAATTTTACAATGCTTTAAAGCATTGGTGCTTTAGTTTTTTTGTTTTTATGGTACAAATCGAAGTTGTACCTATACTTCTTTGTAAAATCTCTTTATGGTACAAACTAAAGTTGTACATTTAAGTTATGGTACAACTGGAATAGCTGAAGTTGTACCACGACATAAATATCAAATTCTCTTATGGTACAACTTAGGTGTGCTCGTACTGTAAACATATTTACCCAACTACGATACGTAACTCCCGATATTATATTATTTTTTGGTTTCTCTCTCTTGTGGTCGCTGTAATAAACAAGGCAAAAATTTAGTCTAATATAGGTGGTGGTTGGTTGCGACGGTTTGAAGTCGGTGGTGGCGAAGACGTCCCTAGGAGTGGATTCCGAAGGCGCCATGCCGATATCTGCCACCAGAGGCTTCTCGTATTCTCCGGGAGGCCACAATCTCGGCGACAAGTTCGTCGTCCACAAAGACGTCGCCTCCGGCTCCCTGCTCGGCGAGTTCCCTCTCACCCCAAACCTACTCTACTGGTTCCTCCTTAGACCATCCACTCCTCAGGGTACGTTTTTTTTTTCTTCTTTTTTTTTTTCCTGTTATTATTTTCATAGTTTCATTTTCCCCGACTCTATCCTTCTACGTACGTAACTTCATCCCATTGAACATTTAATGCATGCATGGCCAGATTCAGTAGCATGCAAAGACAAGAAGCTGATAAAAGAGTCGAGCCTCGAGACCGTGAAAGGATACCCGCCGGAAGCCCAAGCAACGGTGAGAAACAGCGACGAGGACTCGTTGCACCTCTCGGAGTCAATAACCTACCGCCGGCCGTGGGACCTGCTGACTAAGAAATTCAGGAGAGGAACGGTGACGGTGGCCGGAGACGCCATGCACGCGATGGGGCCATTCCTAGCTCAAGGCGGCTCGACTTCCCTTGAAGACGCCGTCGTTCTGGCTGACTGCATGGCGGCGGAAATATTACTCGGCCGGCCGCGAGTTGTACCGATGGTATTAGCTCTTGATGAGTACGTGAATCTACGGAGGAAGCGAGTGTTCTTGCTGTCCCTGCACACTTATCTGTTGGGCGCAATTGCGAGCCCTAGTTCCTCTAGGGTTACCAAAACCTGTTGCATTTTGTTGAAGAAGGTTTTGTTCAGCGACCCATTTGAACATTTACTTTATGATTGTCGACGTCCTTGAGTTGACTGCTACATGAAATATTAATGCACTATTCTACGTACGTACATATAATATGTGAGGTTCTTAAATTTGACTTATTATAATATGATATACATGGTATTGGTCTTTGTATTCATTTGATCACTTTCTGATTACCAACAATGATTCCATGGAAAAATTATGTGTAATCGAGCACTTATAAACTTAATTTATATTAGGGTTATAGGTATAATATGCCCTTCTACTATGACATTTTATCAAACATGTCCCTCTACTATTTTTTACATCAAACATGCCCCTGTACTTTGAAAAACTTATCAAACATGTCCTTTTGTTAAAATTTTCATCCAAAAATCGTTAACCAAGACCGAACTTTGGGTTGGGCGACCCAAATATCTAAAATATCTCTAATAATTTTACTTTAGAGTTTTTTTTTTCTTTTGTATAGCCAAATAATTCTAATAATTTTACTTTGATGAGACCTAGAGAAATAAAGCAAGGGTCAAAACCGACATTTTCCCTCCCGTTTATCGATGTCAGGTCGTCTAAATCTCGGTTCAACCATGATTGACAATTTTTTCAATGGAAATTTTAACTGAAGGGCATATTTGATAGTTTTTCCAAATTAAAGGGGCATGTTTGATGTAAAAAATATTAGAGGGGCATGTTTGATAAAACGTCATAGTAAATGGGCATATTATACCTATAACCCTTTATATTAGGATTGTTTTTTTATAAGATATTACGCTTATATTGCCTCTGAAACATCATGATTACAAGGAGCGAATTGCTCACTGAAAGATAACCAAAAAAAAAAATATATATGTAAACCTGGCTCAATGTATGGTAGAGCAATCTATGTCGCGAAAAGAAAAGCCAGAAGAACGAGTCGAGTGATAGATTGATCAAACCCAATACGAGAGAACTATTACAGAGCATGCATCAAATAAAGCTAAAATCAGAAGAATAATCCTTAGTTAGAATTAGATTCCAACTCAACACGTTTTGAAAAGAGTTGCACTTTGAAGAGCACAGTACGATGAAATTCTCTCGCTTCCACAAACAACAAAGCAGGGCTTGAGCACGTCCGGAACAGACAACACCATGGTGATCAAACATGCAATGCTATAAGCTTCCACTTGAGGATTGTTCGGAGATGATCCATCACAGTAAATTACAAAGCTGTGATTACTCAAAGGTGGACAGGGCTAAGACGACCTTACTTCTCAGAGCCGAACCAGAGCTAAGGCCAGACTAGACCCGTGAAACTAGATTAGATAACAAACAACATCCGTCTCAATAAGAGAGACATGATGAAGGAAACCGCTTCGGTGAAAAAGGAAGAAAAAGTCACAAAGACCTAGATATTTCATCGTTGGTTAGAAAAACCACAAAGAAAGGATAGTGGAGCAAAGGAGCTCTGGACAACCAAATAGAAAAAGAAAAAGCGCAGCCGCCGGTCACAAGATGGAGGATGGAGACTGAGACTGAGAGTGAGAATGAGAATATTGTTGAGATGGGGAAGAGCAAATTCAATATTAGAGAGAAAAGGGGCCGGAGGAGTTTTTTGTAATTTTTGTTGAGCACCTTTTTGATACAAGGAACTTAGGCCTTGTTTGCTTCAAGGATTTTATCATGGATTTGGTGCATAAAATCCAAACATTATAGACTTTGGGCACAATCCATTGTTTGCTTGATGTAATTGGAAGGAATAAATCTGTGGGGCCCACAGACTTTGAGGTTCCAAATCCGTGGACCCCACGGATTTGGAAATTCTAGCCTAAGATGTGGGATTTGCATGAGGGTGAAAAGTCCATGATAGTTATTTACTAATTTAACCCCACTTATTTTCTTATTGACGATTTTGTCCTCCTATTACCTTCTCTACTAACTCGACTGACAAGAAGGAGACACAGAAAATTTACGAAAATAAGAATGCTAAACCCTTCTATTCTACACTTTTGCGCTTCAAGAGAATGTGTGCTTGCAGCCCTTTCGCGTTGAAGTGGTCTTGTCACAAAACAACAACTCGCATATCTTAAAAACACGTTAGGTAAATATTTGGGGAAGGAGCTATTTTCTTAACATTGGAACGACGTTAGTGTCTATTTGGGAAAGTTATAATGATTGCTAAAATTAAGCATCCATGTAACACTCTTGGAGTTGGGGTGTTGAACTTGGAGTAAAAGAGTTGGGATTGGGATTGGATTTGGGAAGGGAAGTGGTGGGTGAAGAAATTGTATTTGGATTTGGTGGCATCTAAAGTTCAACTGCAACAGATAGGTGAAGGCAGAGAAGAGGGAGTTGGTAAAGGTAATGATCGTATATGTCCAATACCATATGATTGACTGCATTGCGTGGACCATACCATATGATTGCCGCAATACAACTTAATACAAAATCTATATCTACATGTACATGTACGTATATGTCCAAATAATCTTCCATCTCAGCTTCCCATTGCAAAATGAATTGTAACTCCTTTATACAAAATCTAGAATTTTGTGACTATGTATATACCTTTGGTAGCCGGTTACAAGCCCACTATGAAAGTATATACATAGTCAGTTTTTGTGACCGGTTAAAATCGTCTCATTTATTATATTTCATTCTCGATAAGTGACTTTTTCTACTATTTTCCAAACTAATTTACTACTTAAAATACAATTTCCACATCGTAACTCAATAAAGCAAAATCAACAGCTATGCAAAATCGAATACTAAAATTAACGAGTCAAATCATGTGACATGCCATTTCGTATGTAATAAAACATGAACGCCTGCTAGCAATCCAGTATAAATTTTGACTTCAAATAGAATAACATAGTATAGTTGAGCCTTCAATTGAAAGTACTCTGCTTGGAGCTAACCAACATGTATCCTTGTTTTAAAAAATGAGGGATATTTAGTACAAATGTTGGATTTTGGGATTGAAATACTATGTTGGATTTTTTCATTCTGGATTTGTGTTGAATTTTATAAATGATTTATTTGCTTGTTGGATTTCAAAATGGATTTGTCTCTCTTGGATTTATGGGTGAAAGGAGGAATTTACCTTCCTATCCATGTGAAGTGAACTATTCTCTATCTTTGAAAAGCTACTATAAATCTTTGCATATATAACCATTGCTCTCTCACTTAGTACGAAAAAAGAAAAACAATTAGTAGGTATAATTAATCCAATGAAATGGATCGAAGAATCATATAGAGTTATGACCAAGCACTTACCCGATATGGTTTTTAATTAATCGGCATCGCTTACAAAGGCCTCTCGCGGTATCGTTTGCTAATAAGCATTAATTGGTGTAGTTTCTCTCATCTTCCAACAAGGAATAAACAAAAAGCATTCATTTTCCAATAACAACACTAGCAGGCCGAGTGAATCCGACATTGTTTCCCCCCTAAACAATGTCGTTTTAAGTACCGCGATGCCGCTCGACTCCAAACACCACCCTTTTTTGTCATACGGTATCGAATTAAATGCTGAGACTAATTAATGCGGCATTTAATTCAGGCCAAAGTGATTTTAGGTGTCGAACACAATTTTTGAAAAACAGAGTATAGCTGTTTAAAGTACCCTGGAGCGTAGAGAGGCAGAGTCGACAATTAATCAATCACATCACATCCTGGAGCGTAGGTTGCATCCAGCAATATTCCACTCATCACTTGCAGCAGCAGCAGCAGCAGGAGGAGGATTATCAACAACCTTGTGACCATCAGCAGCAACGTCCTGTTTGACTGAAGACTCCTCCTCCACAGCAGGATCAGCAATTAGTTTCTCCTCCTCGTGATCAGCAGCAGCAACCGACTGATCATCCACAGCTGCAGGATTGGCATTTACTAGTTTCTGATCATCAGCAGCAGCAGCAGCAGCGTCGTCTTGTTGTTGTTGTTGTTGTTTCATTAGGAAGATCCAGCGAGCCTTGCACTGCTTGGGCGTTTTATGAATGAATTGCCTGGAAACGTAACGCCACTGATCCTTGCCATAAAATTCTACCGCCGCCTTGAGCAACCTATCCATCGCGGGAAACCAGCCACAGACGCGGGCCTTGCACTCCTCGCCGGACCTGCCGTCCAGCAGCGAAGCGATCCGGTCCCACTCATCGGTCCTGCTGCCGTACTTCTTGACTGCCTTCTTCAGGATCAAATCCTCCTCCACCAACCACGTCACCCACCGCCCGTCGGCCGTCTTCCTGCCTAGTATTCTGTCCCCCCGGAGAGTGCGGAGATCGTCAGGACAACGGCGGCTATTGCGTACCATTTAGATCTTCAACTGCCAACGGAAGAAAGAACTTCTATTTATTGATCGATCGATCGATTAATTAGATGGGACGGGAAGTAAGGTTCTCAATATATATAGATGAAGATGATCAAGAAAAGAAAAAATAGTAATTAAGTAATGTCCTCAACGGGAATGGAGAGTGGTTATTATTATTGGTCCGTGTTAGTGTTGAAGTAGGAAACGTTTATTGGTCCTGTTTAGCAGGATTAGTGGGTAATCTTATAATTGTTATTTTGAACAGATGGTACACGATGTCAATTGTCACTTGTAATATATGATAAACACGAAAAATACATGAATCTGTAAAAAAAATATATATATATATTGAAGATTTACTTTTAAGTGTGAGAAGGAAGTCAATGATAATGACCAAGGTCTAGGTAAGATTTGGCTTCTGTGGAGGAAGGACCTCAATCTTAGTGTGTTGCACTCCTCATATCAATTCATTTATGTTTTGGATTGAATCTTGAGGAAGGAATATGATAATTTGAGGATATTTGTATTGAAATGTGCTTTTTTTTGGGTAATACCACTGGAAATACCAGCCTTTAACGAAAGTGCTATTTATATTACAAGCTTTCAATAAACACAAAAATATTCCAACCTATTAGGGGTCTGCGTCATTTGTGTTACGCGATTTTCTGTTGACCGTTAAAATTGACGGTTGACCTGACGGTGGCCAACATTGTGTCCACATATTATTTATTTATTATTATATTACAAAATTAAAATAATTTTAACCCACCCCCACCCCCCTGAATTCGCCCTTCGACGACCAAACTTTCCCCGCCGTAGTTGCCACCTTCCTTCTCCATCGATGGTGACGACTGGCCGACTTCCTCGAAGTAGCTATTTCCACATCTTCTCCTCTCTCTCTTCGCTTTGCTCCGTCGCTCGAATGGCCGAACCTGTGTCCCACAAGGTACCCGAATACTCTGCCTTCGTCGACAATGGTCCATCCCGAATCGAGAAAACTGAAACCTAAAATCCCCTTATCCGATTGGAAGTGTTTCTTAAAGCACTCCAAAATCTAGAAGCGGCAAACCCATAAACCCCCAAATTTCATCCAACCTTCTGATCTAGATTTCCAAATCGAAGAGCCATTGGGAACTAAGAAGCGCCACAATTCCTGTCGCCCAGCATCTTCGTCTTCTACTGGTACGACCACTGCAGCTTCATCGCCTTTTCGCTTCACTCCAACTCCTCGCTCCGCATCATCGCCGTCGAGCATCGGTGGACCCAGATCAGGCGTCGGTATGATTTCAATCCAAATCCCTTCAACTTCAGACCGATGGATCTGAAGACATCTTTAAAAAAATAGAGCATTTTACCCATCCCAATCGGTGAAATCCTGTCCTCCGCCTGTTTCTCGATCCTCTGAAACCTGCTACCAAGCTTGGAGACGGGATCGTTGAGGCACAGCGGAAGACAAACATTGAGAGCGATTCAGGAGTAAATCAAAGGTTGCGGTCGAGGATCATTGAAGTCAAAGAAGGGCGACGGTGGGGGAGGCGATAGATGATGATGGCCGATGGAGGTGGGTAAAATGGAGGGCTGGGAGAGCAAGGAGAAGTCGAGGGAGGGAGATGGGCAGAGTTTAATTGCAGAAGGCAGAGAGGGGTAAGGGGGGAGACGGTGGGCTTTGTGGGTCAAGCGGTGTTTTATTTTTTGCCATGTCATTGTCCACATCATAACCTTCCTGGCTCTTGGTCAAACAATAACGGAAAAACTAACAAAATACTAACGGCATAACAGAAATGGCATATCGAGAGTTTCATATTATAAATGACACTTTCGCTAAAGTTTGGTATTTCTGTTGGTATTAGCCCCTTTTTTTTTGACAAAAGATCATCATATATTGATTGAAAGAAGACACAGTTACACCCTGGAAAACAGCCAGGCCTGAAAATTAAAAGAGCGAGACGTAGACGGGTACAAAGAAAGGGCCTTTCTAGCCACAACATGGGCTACCCTGTTGTTCCTCCGACCTACAAATCGCAAACTAAACCCCGGATGACTCTCCATACAGTGCCAGATTTCTTCCAAGATCACCCCAATCCTACTATCTCTAATCTCAGCTTGATTAATTTTGTCGATGATGACCTTGGCATCGCCTTCAAATCGCACCTCTTGGAACCCATTGGCCACACACCATAAGAGAGCCTCCCTGAGAACGAGTGCTTCCACCACCAGAGGATCATCAATAGCCTGAAACTGGACCCCTTCCACCCGGAAGACCCCCCTATTAGAGTCAAGAAGCACCATGCCGCCTGCAGAGTGAGACCATGCCCTTGTAGCTCCATCCCACATACACACCAGCGAGGAACCCTCCAACCCCTCTGGAGGATGGACAATAGGGTCCAGTTAGAATAAATATGTACAGTATTGAAATGTGCTCATCAATCATTTATAGAGTCTTTTCTTTTATTATTTAAGTTAATTAGAATAAATATGTACAGTATTCCAAGCTTCCAAGTTAACACAAAAAAGGTATCACGGCCAACATATTACTTTAGTCTAGTCAACACCATTGACGGTGTTGTTAAGTTCAATAGTTCATGGATGAAATAACTATATTTGTCATTAGTCAAAGAAATTTGCTATATTTTTCACAACTGTTAAAATTTTGTTTATAAAGGTGTATTTTGTCTAAACTAAATTACATGTACAACTCCATATATAAGTATCAAAGTATCAAACGCCAAATAATATTTGTAGCGGTTAATTAATAATGTTTTAATATATAATCCACTACCTTTGCTTGAGGGACTTGGTTCAAATTCTAATAATAATTTTTATTTAATATATAAAGAAAAATTGTAAACAATTATGAAAAGGATCTTCCTGAAACTGCTCACAACCCAAAAAATGTGGAAATTTTTTTCATCACTTCACTTTAGTATATGAGTAAGTAGATGTAGTATTGGAGATCGGAGGGGGAGAGGTTGTCAAGAACCAGTTGATCCCAATAACCCGAGTTGTTGGAAGAGGTTCAATTGTGGATCATATACCGTTTACTAACACTCCCCCTCAAACGAAAGCCACCATATATGGGCTTGAAGTTTACACATGCATCAGACACCTTGTGCTTATCAAATGGGGGTTATCGGGATTCGAACAAAAGATTTCGTTCAAAGAAGGCTCTGATACCATATCATAAACCAGTTGGTCCCAATAACTCGAGTTGTTGGAAGAGGTTCAATCGTAGATCATATACCGTTTAGTAACAGGGGTTGAGGTGGCAGTCATCCTTGATTTGGGACATAAGCAGATTGAACCAAGACCCTCCTGTCAAGAAACAAGCTAGATTTGACCTGCGCTAAATAGATTAGGTCGGATCTAATTATCCAAACTATCTGACCGGATTAGTATTGTCTGTCATAAACCAATTGGCCCCAATAACTAGAGTTGTTGGAAGAAGGTTATACTGAATCTTATATCCACGCTCTTACATTGTCATTCCTGCTGAACAGTTCTCTTTCGTAAACAAAGCACAAGCCATTTTAGTATTATTCAAAGATAAAGAAATTTCAACAACCTTTATTGGATCTTATTGGTATACAAAGCTCCCACAATGTCTCATCCTAACTAATAATAGTTATTTCCAAATGCTGTTTTACGTCACTGAACCATCATGACAGTTGATAACCGATGGTATATACAAAAATAATCTTGAATTGACAGGGTAACTGTTATCATATGTCACATTGCTGACCCATTCGTTCGGTTCCACAGCGCCACTGTCGCTCTTACTTTGATAACCCAAGAAAGGAGGAAACCAAATAGGCGGGAAAATAATCATAAAGGGAATGCTATATATTAATAATAATAATAAAATATATATATATACTCACTTTTTTGGGTGCATTCAGTGCACCCGCTTCATAATTGTCATTATAAACATACGATTTATGTCAAAATGATGTCAATCATCACTTATGATGTGATGAACAATAACACACATGAATTTGCACAAAAAACATTGAAGATTTACTTTAATTTGAAGGATTTAGAGTTTAGAGATTTAGGGTTAGGGTTATGGTTTACAATTTGGGATTTAGGGATAGAACTCAAAATTGGAGGTCTAGAGCTTAGGGGTAATCCGCTAGTTAGTTGTTATCATATGTTATATGATCATATTACACTAATTCTACAAATTAAAATTCAAAATCCGACATCTTAAGACTAGTTTTTGAGTTGGGTGCATTGAACGCACTCATTTTTGTGAGTGCACCGAAGTAGTCACCATATATATATATATATAATTTTGAGTTCTATCCCTAAACCCCAAATTGTAAACCCTAACCCTAACCCTAAATCTCTAAACTCTAAATCCTTCAAATTAAAGTAAATCTTTGATGGTTTTTGTGCAAATTCATGTGCGTTATTGTTCATCACATCATAAGTGATGATTGACATCATTTTAACATGAATCGCATGTTTAAAATGACGGTTATGAAGTGAGTGCACTGAATACACCCAAAAAAGTGGGTGCACCGAATACGTCACCATATATATATATATATATATATATATATTTGCTCAGCCCTCACAAAAATGTAAGGAAAACCGGAAGGATTCTGGCATTCTATAAATTTTGTACAAACTCTGATTTAGTTTTTTGTTTCAGTAAGTAAACAAACGGTTTACATACAAAATATCTTATTTTCAACCACAAAAACTTCATCGTTAACTCGAAATCGAAATCCATCACCTAGCGTCGGTGGGTCATTCTTTGTCTGTGGGAGTTCACGTGTGGACTATCCAGGTGCTGTGTAGCGATACTGGCTGTATTTCGATACTATTGGGATTCAAACCTCTCGTTCCATTAATATTTAAAGGTTAGAACGCCCCTTTGCGCTCGGTTTTCAACCAAAAAAAGAAATTATTCGAACCAACTGGTTTTCGACAAGTAGAACAACAACACTAGAAACAACGCCGACCTGCCCAGCATCGTAACGTGCATAGCTAAGAAATCGGCAAACCCATCCACCATGTAATTCCAATCGTCATCCATCAACAGCTGATCAACACTACCCGAAATCGATTGATGATCATCCAATAACTTCCACGCAAAGTCGCTCGACACCGTCAACTCCATTCCATCGTCGCCGTCGTCGATAGCACCACCACCGACGTTAGGGCACCGGAGGCCGTCGATGTACCCATCCAGGTCATGAACCCAACCAGGGTTCTGAATACTGAAGAACTCCAACGCCACCTCCACGCCCACGTGTACGTAACACGAACAACTCCACGGCATCTCGTACTCTTCGTTCCCGGCCACCAAAACCCTAGGCGTCGTCTCGTTGAGGAAAACCCCCGGTAGCTTCGTCACGGGATCGTTCACGTTCACCACCCTCAGCACCTTCACTCCGACTTCCTCGCACCGCCGCTTGAACCCCGAGTTCCCCACCCTCGGCCCACCGAACGAAAACACCGTCACCGGAGCCGCAGTAGTACACCCCGCCGTGTTGTTGAGCCCCAGCTCGCAGATGTCGTAGGCCAGGAGAAGTGCGAGTGAGCTCCCCATGCTGTGGCCCACCAGCGTGATGCTGACATCGGAACGGGTCCCGTCAACCTCTCGCTTGTTCTGGTTCTTCTTGAGCAGCCTCGACACCTCGGAGAGCAGCTGCTCGCGGCAGCTTCGCAGGCCGAACCTGCAGCCGCTCTCCTTGGAGGTGTAGAGGCTGAGGAAGCCGGCTTCCACCTGGACCCCCGGTCGGGGGTCCAGAGGGTGGAAGCCGGCCGGGGTGAGGGAGCTCATGAAGTTGGCAGCCCACTCCGGGCTCGTCACCGTGCCGCGGAAGGCCACCACTATGTCCTCCCTCCCCAGCCTCGTCTTCGTCTCCGCATCGTCGGACGACGACGACTGGGAGACGGCCACGTAGCCGATCCAGCGGCCGCGAGGGGCGGCGGTGGCGCCCTCGTGGGGGGAGGCGTAGATGTACTTGGTGACGCGGTAGCCGGAGTGGTGGAGGCCGAGGTTGCGGAGCATGTCGTCCCTGGCGAACTTGCAGTGCAGGTGGCGGGCGGAGGAAGGGTCCACGTCGAAGGCCTTGTAGCAGGCGGAGAGGAGCTCGCCGTAGCGGATTATTTCTCCGCGGAGGAGAGGGTGCAGCCACGTGGCAGGGCCCGCCACGAGTCCCTGCCAGTCGTTGCAGCCTTGAATCTCTCTCCACATGGATGCCACGCCGCAATCGGTGGCGGTTCTTCTCCCGCCGGCGCTCCTTTCGCTTGTTGAAGAAGCGATGATGTTGGGCCGCCTGCGGCGGAGGGAGTGATTGTTGTTGTTGATGACGGGGATGATGGCCGGCGTGATTACGACGACTTTGGAAGTAAACATAATTAGCTAAAGGGGTTGTGGAATTGGAAATTTTGGCTGGATTCTAATCCATTTATGGAAGAATTTATGAAATGGTTAGTTAATTAATGTGTGCGTACGTAGGATGTGGATGTGGGAGGGATAATTAATGGATTTTGGCACAATATATATCTGCAGTAACTTTTTTTTAGCCCATCATATTATCGGGTGTTAATAATTGGGACGACTTGCAACAATATATTTTTTGGGGGGAAGACTTGGTGCGATTTTATTACGATAATAATTGTCCATCACCATTATTTAATTGTTAATATATATATTTCAGAAATTATAATTACAACAATTGTATTGGTCGATCGGCAAGCAGTCGCATCAGTTTTGTCATTCATATTCTAGTTTTCTACTTGTCTTCGTACAGCCGCAGGTAAGCTGGGTTACGCTTGGTACGTACGTAACAACATAATCAGGGGAGTTGACAAGGAAGAAGCTCCCCCAATATTATTATTATTATTAAGGGAATCGTAATTTCTTTTCATCAGGTTTTTTCCTTTTATACAACTTTATAAAATTTCAGGTACTTAAAGGTAAGACATTACCTGGTCAGGTACTAACTACTAAGTGGTAACTTTTTTCAGAGATAATAGAAAGACCAACAAATCTCACCCTGCACTGACCCTTCTACGGCCAACCATCTGTATTTGTATACTCTCCATTCACTCACGCTCACTATAAGTCTATAACCAATATCCCACCATGTGTTTATACTAAGAGCAATGAACAAACTCAAGCCTGTTGGAAACTGCAAATGTGGATACCAAACAAACCCCAATCTCGATAGGAAACAACACTCTCTTTCAAACCAGTACTAGTCCTATTGACTTCCATCCATGAAATCCTATGTTACCAAAAATTGGATCCCTTCATCCTCCTCCGTCCACAACTAAGAAAGGTGGCTGTACATTGCAGTGAAGAGGGTTTCTTCCCTGTCATCTTGTCGACTTGTGCTGGGAAGCTAGTAAATCGGAGCCTTGATGGTTGTTTGATAGCCTGTGAGACGAATTCTGGGCCTGGAGGCAACTGCATTCTGGCAATGGGTACTTGTAGATGGAAGTTTTCCTGTTGATCTTCTTCACTCTAGGGACCATCATTCCCTTGCGATCGCTTTCTTCCAGCACAACTTGCATCTCATCCTTGAACCCCTTCCAGCTGCACCATTCAGTTCAAGCATATCCAAGTACAGAGGATCATGCCATCATTAACAGCACCGGAATTTGAAGTTTTAGAAAGCTACTTTTCGCCTCTCGACTTCAATAGGTTAACGTGGAGAGTGGAATGTACCTGATTGTCTTCTCCTGAAGCAAAATGGCAAGTTTGCGTTTATCCGGATTGATAGTCTTGGCATGTCCATTAAAAAGAAATCTTCTATGGCCCATCAAAAAATGAGGGAAGTTTCCACCCTGAGTTGTAACAAAAACCTCACTGTACAGGCACACAGTGTAGTCCAAAGCTGCCAATCTTGACGAATAGCCCTGCCAGCGAGAAAGAAGTCGACCTGAGCTAGTATTTGAAAACTAGAGGAATAGTTCCATATGCCAAGGGTTCGACAGGACGACAGCCACCAACAGTAGTGTTTCAAGTTGTTGGAGCAAGGGTTTAACTCCAGAAGGTTAGTAGCCTAACAAGCTCAAGTACAGTAATGTTCTACTTACTAGGAGTCCAAAATCTATAAGCGGAGACGAACGGAGAATCCAGCCGAGACCTAAATAGATAACAATGCAACGTAAAGAGTATTTGGTGCGCGTGCAGTGTTCTTCTTTCTATGGTTACAAGTTCCTAATGATTTCCCAAAAGAGACGTCTTTTAAGACTTCCAATTTCAGTTTAACATTGGTTGTCCAGAATGCAAGTGTGCAAAGTGTTACAGAGCATATTATACAGGAAACGTCAATATCACAAGAAGTTTACAAATAAGTTGCACAAAGGGGAAGCTTGATCTATTTACCTTGAATGGTGCAAGTTCCTCTGCTGTCGCAAGAGTTTCCTTGAAATAAAGAAGGGGAAACATTCTCAACAAAGGTTTCAAATGTCTGTCGGCTTGGTAAATCTTGCCCGATGCTATGTATATTGAAGTTGTGTTATCAAATCCCATACCGCGCAGCAACAATCCTACCTATGCTGACAAAGAAAACATCAAAAGAATGTGTTATTCACCTTGCCAGTAAATGTCCAATCAAATGGATTACCGCAAATCTACAAATTAGCCTATGCTGCAAGTTAACAGAGCATGCAGTGGGATTTAAATTGTCAGAACTATCACTTGTCTGCCTGTATTTGAGATTTGAAAGATGGTGATTGATAGTAAGCCCAAAGAAAATTTGATGTAGCTGTCATCAGCAAAATAGTTTCTACTTTGTCTCGCAATAACCCTACAAATGGCGAGGATTCATATTCAACCCTTAAATAGATGGAAAAGGCTTCCCTGTCACAATACAGGGAAATAATATCAAACGGTACTAAGCAATAAGTAAACAACAGTAAGAGCCAATTGAAGCATTAACCAATCCCTCTGAGATGTTAAGAGGAGCCTCTTTCACAACACAGTTAATCTGTGACAACCTAAGGAAACTAACTGTCGGCTCGGTCATCCTTCCTTCACATATGTGTAAACCCAGGAGGGTTATACGAGCATGGACTTATTTAACTGGAACTCACTGACATAAATGTTAGACCCCCCCCCCCCCCCCCCCCCCCCCTCATTCTGACACGAACGAAATTTTCCATTGGCAAGAAAGTAAAAAGGGAGTTGCAGAAGGTAGGTACCTCTAATGGGGTCAGAGGGCATTTTCCATCAATGCGGTTAAGGCCAGGATTAACCTCGCGATCTTTTCTTTTAAACTTCTCTTTCCACTCTGCCTCTCGAAATGAAGCCAATTCGTACCTTTCAGCAGCTCCGCCATCGTAAATGCAGCATGAAAATGCTACCATGTCCTACAAGTTGAAAAGAGATGCTACTTGAGCTAATGTTTAGTGCTAATACTTAGAAACTGGAGACATCAAACTCTTAGCAAGCAATAATACAAATTTGTACCTCCTCAAAGCGGAGGTGGATGGAAACATATTTTCCTCCATTTTTTGTGCTCTTCTCAACCATTCGGTTTACCAGCTTCTCTGCCAGAGTTGACACAGGCAAAGCAAATCTCAATGCTTTGTAATTTGTTATGCATCTAAGCAACTGAATATGTGCCGGGACACTCATAGCCAATCGATTGGCAAATGGTGCAAAACGAACAACCCTGATTGAAGACAGAAACACAGTCAGAAATATCCCTCAGGCATGTGCAAAGTACCCAGATCAGATAATAAAATGCCAGTTCCAGTGCTTTCAGCCTGTGAAATATATTCATTGCTGGGCAATACAAGCAGAGGCAAGAAAAGAATATAATCTACAACATACCCATGCTCTCTTAGGACGGGATAGATTTGTCCTGTGTAATATTTAGCAGGAGCCCAAGGAGGAACTCGAATTGTATGAATACTAGTCATGTTATAGTCATATTTCCTCATCACTTCATCGGGTAATGCTTTCACCACTTTCACATGTTTCTCAAGTACGGATATGAAGCGATCCAGGTCATATATGTCCCCAAACTCACTGCAAAAGAAAACTGCAACATGTAAGCGATACAGTAAGGAATAGGTTCAATCAGAGGAAGAAATAAATTCAATAGTATGCGTACAGTTTTGAACGAACAACTACACAAGTTTGCTTGCAACTTGATAAAGGATCCTTTCAGCTTACCAAAATTCTGCTTTGAGAAATATGTTGAATTTCTGAATGAATATAAAATATTGGTAATGGTATTACCTCCACATGGCTAAGTTAATTGCGAAAGTAAAGCCAGAAAAATGGAAAAGCGTAAGCTATGCCTTAGTAAGTTATGCTTACAAGCAAGATTAGTCATTAACTCAGTTAATCTACATGCACTGGATGAAACTACAACAACAAAAAAACTATTTCCTTACCTTGGATCCTTCCAGACACGATTGAAATCGAACTGTGGAATGACCAATGCTGCATTTAGAAGTCCAGCTACAGCAACTGCGTTGCAGATCTATCCCAAAAAATAGCAAGCATCCAGAACAACTTATAAGCAAAAGAATGAGGTATATGATGGCAGCATACACAAATGGAACCTGAGCTATTTGATACTTATGTTTAGTAAAGATGGAAAGTCAGGGTTCAATATCCTTCTAATGAAACCTAAAAGAAAATACAGAACATCCCTATATTTGAAACTTACATCGAACAGCAAAGATTAACAACATACCGCAGAGCGCTGCTGATTAAGGCCGCCATTTGCATTAACAATCAAGTATCCTGAAGCGCCTGATGACTCTGCAATTGAACTAAAACAAATCAAATTCCCCTTGTAATTTGAACATGGCCAGGGACAGCAAACCAATTCCCAAAACAGGGAGCTAAGCATAAACAGCTACGAAGAAACAGTTCAGCTACAATTCTCAAGACTTAGAATGGGGCAAACATCTACCTCCAGTCCAAGCATAACGACGCTTCGTCGCGGGGATACTTGAATTTGGACAAGGTCTCTGCACCTTGAACCTCCTTTTGTACTGCCATACAGAAGCCAACTGCAACAAGCAACCTGCAGCATTATTCCTCAAAGCAAATTGATGGCCTTGGCTGCAGATACATGAACTAAACGTAGTGTCTTCTCAAAGAAATTGAAAATCGTCAGCCATTTCTTTGGATGCTTCGAAATCATTTTAGCAAGCGATAGTCCCACTCAATCATCACTGTCTACATCTTTTTTCTATGCGAGCTTTTCCTTTTTCCGGTTCTTTACAATTCTCCACGGGACCACACAAGCGTTTTACCGTTGAATTGGGGAATTTCACTTTTCTCGCCGTTTCTCGACAACCAAACAGCAAGAAAACGAGACCTAAGAAAGCCGGGAAAGAGGAAACGAGAAAGGAAGGGGTGGGGGGAGAAACTCGATCTAACCTGAATTGCGGTGGAATTGTCGGCAGTGATATCCGGCCAGAGGCGTTCGAACAGCTCATGACTCCGGTACACGGCGCCGGGGACGCTGCCCCGGCCGAGAGCAAGGAGAGCGGTGGA